CCAACCCCCGGTCTTCAGGGGGATGGACTTTGTCAGGCTTTCTAGCCACGCTCAATTACCCCTTCTCAAGGTGATGTCTCTGTCATGGGATTCCCTGGGTGCATCTTGGACTGAGCCCTGTGTCCCACCAACCTGGGGTAATCCCCACCCCACACAGTGTCATATTGTTGAGCTATAAATCTCAGGCAGGTGCTGCACTTACACAGATATTCTCAGGCAGGGGGCCTGAGTTACATGAATGCTTGGCCAGTCACTCAGGGACCAACAACAGAGAGGCCCCGGCCAATTCTTTCCCAGCTCCCCAGCCTTGCACCCCAGTACTGTACTGCCTTTCACAGGTCAGAAGCCTGACCAGTGTAAGTTCATTACCAAGTCCACATCTCCCTCGAGGTGGAGAAGGCACGCATCAGCCTTTGTAAAGTGCGTTGAGATTTCCCAAGCCCTTCAATCCAAACATACTGTTTTAGATTAAAAAAAACAGGTTGGGCCTCTCTAGTCCAGGGACCTGAGCTGTCCTGACCCAAGGAATTTGCTGGACCAGGGGAGGTCAGCTCCCCTGTTGGCTGCTCCGCTTCAGGGCTCCTCATCCTTGGGTTCCCTACCCTGCCGTTGGTCCCACTAATACTGGCCTGGCATGGGCTCCTATGCTGCTATCCGCACACTGCCCCAAGGTCTCCTGGAGTTTCTGGTTGGGACAGCTTGGCTGTGCTGCCACACAGTGTTCCCCAGGCTTCCTGGGCTGGGGCCACCCATCCACCCCCAGCCCTACTCTGCTGCTGGAGCTGGCTCTGCTGCTGCTGGGAATTCCCTGGGCTGCCTCAGCCAGGGCCACCCGCCTTTGCCAGCCCTGCTTCAGCTGCAAGTTCCACAGCTGAGGTTCCCAGCCAGGGCTGCCCATCTGCCACCCTCCCTGCTGTGGGAGGTGTTCCTGGCTGGGCTGTCTGCCAGCGGAAGCCGCGCAGCATTTCAGGTTCCCTAGCTAGGGTCAGGATTCCCTGGCTGCCTACCCCAGCTGATGTCAGGGTTCCTTGGCTGGGAACTCCCCTGTCCACTGCCTCATCCAGCTGCTGCTGGCCCATCCAGGACTTCCCAGCTCCGTGTTCTCTTAGCTGGCTCCTGCTCCCACCTCGAGGGCTCTTTGGTCCAGCAATATTAGTGGCCCTGCCAGACCACAGATATTGCTGGACCCGAGAATCGTGGATTTGGGAGGTTCAACCTGTGTAAAGCAGACTTATTAACATAGAAAGATTGATTTTAAGTGATTATAGTAACAAGTATAGGGATCAAAGTTGGTTGCTTAAGAAACAAAAATAAATTCACAGTCTGAGTTCTGCAAACTGGTACAAACAGGTTACAAATTCTCAGCACTTGTGTCTCAACTGTTTTCTGGCCTGGGACCATCCTCCCACGTTATAAGTTTTTGTACCCCTGATGTTTCTTCCAGTGTCAACTGATGTCACTTTTTCCATAGTTTCTTCCAGCTTGCTGGAAAGGTCTATGCTTGTGATGTGGGGGGTCTAATCCATTAGGCAAGCAGTGCCCACTGTCTATATGTCCTCTCTGAGAAGTCTTCTGGGATGGCTGATGGGAGAGTGGATTTCCTTTAGTGTGTTATGAGTACATCTGGCTACTCTGTTGTTGTACCTGAAAGGCTGGTTGTGATTATTCCCAACCTCATAACATATTTCAGTAACACACATAACAAAACTTCATAACTCTACATGCAATGATAGCACATACAATCCAACATGAGAGTAATGTTCAACAGATAAACACTTTTAAAGTGATACCTCACAAGGAATACGTTGTGCAAAACGTATCATAATTATATGACAATGGTGAATACGGGGGCTCCCGAGGACTGCTTTGAAGTAGAGTGTCACAGTAGCTCTGCAGAATCCACTCAGCCCACAATAATGTCTTTACTCCCCAGATCTATTTTCCTGATGCTTTTTGTGGCAATGTCCAATTAATAGTTAAACCGTAAACCTGTTATTTACTTATTTAATTTTTGTATAGATTTACTCTCACATTTCAATAGTGTATGTAGCTTCCAACAAGATGAGTGTGAGCGATAAAGGAAAAATCCCCAAGTGGCATTACTCTGTCTCCCTTATGGCTCTGAGCGTAACATTGCTTTTGGCAGTGCATTATTTTCCAGGTGAACATAAATTATGTATCATCTCCACATTGAAAAAAAACAAACAGATTTTTTGTTTTGCTTTTTGGCATTTTGATTTGTTTGGTTTTTGTTGAGGGGAGAGGGAAGTTCAATGCAAAATCTGAATGACACACTTAGGTCCTGTAATTTTATTTACCTCTGCAAATGTCAGGTGTCTTGAGTCCTTGTTCCAAAATTTTTGGTATTTAGGTGCTGGAACACTCACTGTTGCAACCTCTAAATGATTTAGGAGCCTAAATCTTATTTCAAAGGTAATTTAGTCACTTAGGGTACGTCTACACTACAGCGTTAATTCGAGTTATCTTAATTCAAAATAGTTAATTCAAATTAATGCATCTACACACAAAAACTATTTCAAAATAGCGTTTTGCTATTTCAAAATAGCGCATCCACACTGAGTGGACCCTGAACCGAAGTTGAGGCTGGCTGGAACCAGTGCCGGCAGGGCAGCAGGTTAGGACTTAGTGTGTGGAGCTGCCGCCTGAGGCTAACTGAGCTCCGTGCTTAAATGGACCCTACCCTCACCCCAGACAGACAGTTCTCAGGGTTCCCTGCTTGCTTGTCTACCTCGATGAGGGATAGCAAAGCATGGACACCACGGCACTCGGTCACATGGAGCCAGAGCTGCCCCTGGGCATGCTGGTGCGTCTCGTGCACTTGCTGCAGGCTGCCATCCAGGGGGTTTATCGGGGGACTGTCAGGATCCAGGAGGCCCTGCAGGAGAGTGTCCACCCCTCAAAGACTCCCCAGTCCTCCCCACCGGGGGCTCGTGCCCCATTCCTCCCTCACGTCCTTCCACTTTCCTCTCCCTAGCCCTCCTTCCTGGTGTCAAATAAAAGACATGTATGTTCAAAAATAGAAACTGGTTTATTGAACAAAACTGAGGGAAGGGGGCGGGATGAACCTCTGGGGAGACTGGGAAAAGGAGGGGGGAGAGGGGAAGAGAGAGGGGGGGAGAGGGGAGGGGGAAACCTGGGAGGCGGGGGAAGGGGAAGCAAGGGGAAGAAGGAGGAGGGGAAGCTCAGGGTTGGGGGGGTCTCACCAGACCAACTTGATTTTCATGCAAACTTGCTCCTGGGTTCGCATGTGGCCTTTGGTAGCTGGGCTGGCGCCTTTCCTACCATAGACGGCCACATTCCTCCGTCTAGTGCGGAGATCATGGACGTTGGGGGCATCCCCCCCAAACCTGAATAAGGTCCATGATCTCCACCCTGGACCAGGAAGGCACCCGCCTCCTCCAGTCTCTGTCAGGCTCCTGGGAGCTGGCAGACTGCTCCTGGGGAGCAGTGGAGGGCTGGCTGCCAGTGGCTTGCTGGCTCATGTTTTGGGGCCACTGGGTCAGGGGCCCTGGTGGCCACTGCTGGCTCTGGGCTGGCAGGCTTAGGGCTGGCACAGGCACTGTGGCCAGAGTCTATCCCTTTAAGGACTCGGGGCTGAGGGAGAGGAGAGGAAGTTTTCCTGGTTGTGCCCAGAGTAGCCACCAGGGCTCCCTGGGAAGGGCTGGAGGCCCCCATTTCGAATTAAGTGTCTACACAGCACTTAATTCGAAATAGCTATTTTGAATTTGGCGTTACTCCTCGTAGAATGAGGTTTACCAAATTCGAATTAAGCGTTCCGCTATTGCGAATTAATTTCGAAATAGCAGTTTGCTATATATGTATAGAAGGTATTAAAGTTAATTCAAAATAATGGCTGTTATTTCAAAATAACTTTGCAGTGTAGACATACCCTTAGGAACTTAAACTTCATTCACTTTTGAAAAGGAGACTTAAGTTCCTAAATCAGTTAAGGGTTGCAGTGCTGAGCACAGCAACTCCTACATACTCTAAAACTCTGGCCCATACTGACTAGGATGATTGTCCAGTTCATCTGTTTGAGGCATCAGAATCACAGAAAAAGAAAAGTGTCATTGCACCTCCCAGTTTTTCACTCTCAAAACAGTCGTAGGCTGTTAAAATCTTTTAGTATTTTATTATTTATCGAGGGCATAACCACTAATGGGTTCAGATTTGAAAATTACATTGTAATGAATTCTGCTATTGTACCATTGACCTTATTTGTTTGGGTGCCTTTAGTTTGTATGGACTCTGACAACTGTGTCACAATTCAATATCTACATATAGAGGGAAAAATTAAATCAACAAATTGTGCTCTTTAGGGTCAAAAGCACTGCATGTGTTTTCAGACTGTACTGGAAATGGTTGCCTTGTCTGTCTGCTTATTTATTCAATAGGTTTTTATATTTCACGGCAATATCGAAGCTCCTTATGATAGCTTATTTTTATTTTATGTACTTTTATTTTCATTTTATGCACTTTCTGTTATGAGGAGTGGTTCTTACAATAATTGATCATAATGGCTTTAAAAAGTTATTTGCAAATCGAAGTAAGTTATTCTCAGTTTATTCTCAGCTATGTCTCCTGCATAATTCAGTGCTTTGACCTCAAGAATTTGTTACCTTTTCATGCAAAAGGGCCAGTTGTATTCCAGACTTTATTGTTAAATTACAATCTTTCTACTGACTTGATTATGAACTTTTTTCACTAAGTTTCTGTGCTACAGTAGTGTTTCTGGTGGGAACAAAATAGAACCTTTCTACACCCCCAAGAGGGATGTAGATGCCCCTATTGCTCAATGGTCATTTCAGTGTCAGAAAACAGAATTTTCTTGAAGGAAAAAGATTGGAAACTGGTTAATTCTGTTCATAAAATGAGTGTAAGATTTGACTGCATGAGCCGTTTGGGTTCATGGACAGAAGTAGAAAGACTTTTTGTTTCATAATAAGCAGATTTTATTTGAATTGTACTTTGTCTTTCAGGGCCAGCCAATAGATCAGGCTGCTATTTTCGCTCAGCAAGTACGTCCTCCTCCCCAGCTTCCACAGTACCCAGGGTTACAGCAGACACAGGTACTGAGCTGCTCCTATGGAACACTTGCTACAGGTTGTAAGGTACACACATGAAATTCACCTCTTGCAGAGGGTACAAGCAGTGCCCTACAACCGAGTTAAGAATTGCGTTAAGGGCTTAATTGGGAGTTAAAGTAGTGGGTGGGGTTTCAGAATTTCACTCTTAATGAAAAGTGATTGGCAATTCCCTAGTTCAGTTTGGTCAAACATCTTTTTGGCCGGTTTCTAATCTTTTCCCAATGATACTATAAAGTCCATGTGTGCCCAGGGAAGCTGACGGGATCGCGGGGCCTCTGGGCAATGTGAAGCGGAGGGAAGCTCTGCGCTCACTCCTGGAAAGGGGCCAGAGCATCAGGCAGAAGGGGCAGGGCTTGGGCAGGCAGTTCTGGGGGCTGGCTGAAGCCCTATGCCTTTATAGTACTGAGTCTGAATTCCAGGCTGGTTTCAGTGAGATTGGAATCAGTGATGTGTTCCCCTCGTTGTGTTGTAATGCTACTGATCCCCAAAAGAAGCATTGGTGCTGAAGACTCCAGACATCATATCTGAATAAGTACTGAAATCTAGGCTTGATCTAAATTAAAAATGGAAACATGTGTATTCACCACACGGCAGCTAAGTGACCCTGTTAGAAGAAGAGAAATACAACTATTAAAATATAAGGGGAACTGTTCTTTGGTATGATCGCACAGCTCAGTGCCTTACTAAGGGCCCAAATACAGCTTTTTAATAAAGGTTACCTGTTTTTCTTTAATGGCTTAAGGAGATGAACATGTGGCTGTTGTTAAATTGTACCTTGGGCTGTTTTCCATGCAGACTGTGCCTCATGGGTACACAATGTATAGTACTCAGATGCCTTTGCAACAACAACAGGCTAGTGGCATAGTGCTTTCACCCAGCTACAATCCCAGAACGTATCCGGCAACTCACTCCAGTCCAGCTCTCATGGAAAGACTAAGACAGATGCAGCAACAGCCAAGTGGATACATTCAACAGCAGACTGCTGCTTATATTCAGCCTTTAACAGGCACTCAGCGGTAAGGCTTTACATGTTCTTTTGGTTCGTTATAATCCAGGGACATTACTGTCTTGACATATTGCTCTAAAACTTGATTTTAAATCATGCCCATTAATTAGAATGAGATTAATGATGTGTCATGCTGCTATTACATTTGTTCTCCCTCCTTCTTCCCACCTATTGTTTGTTACAGTGGCTTGCTGCTTCTTGTTTAGAGTTACAGTAGAACCTCAGGATTATGGACACCTTGGGAATGGAGGTTGTTCATTAATCTGAAATGGCTGTAACCCTGAATAAGACATTACGGACTTCAGGCACTGGGGGAGGATGGGGGCTGCACCCACAGGGTATGCAGCACCTGGCAGGGGGAGGTCAGGGCTTCTGAACTTTGGGAGCACCAGGGCTCATGGCTTAGATCTGCAGGGAATCTTTGAACTGCGCTGCAGTTCCTGTCTTCTGCCTGGTAGCTGGCAGTAGGGCTCAGGGTTTCCATGGCTTTGCTCCTGGGTGCAGCTGGGAGTTGAGGGGGGTTTGGGGTATTGGGGGAGCAATGTGGCTGAAGCCCCGGTGCTCTCGAGAGTCAGAAGCCATGACTACCACCCCTGTCAGGAGCTCTGTCCTCCCATATCCTGGCTGAAGCCCTGAGCCAGTAGTATATTTGCCTTTTGTGTGTGTGCATGCATGCACATGCCGTTGGATCATTTTCAGTTCCAGAGGGTGTCCAGTTGATCAGAATTCCATAACTAATGTTTGTACCTTTGAAGTTGTACTGCAGATAAGTGTTTCTGAAAGCGTACCACGGAGTCACTCTCAGACACATTAACGGGCCGCCCCGGTTTGTTTACTTACCAGCGCCGCAGCCATGGAGCCTCGTGGCTTCCATTGGCTCCATTTCGTCCTTTGCAGCCATTGTCAGGGATGATCTAGAGCAGTATTTCTGAAAGTGTTCCACGGATGAAATGGAGCCAATGGGAGCCACGAGACTCCGTGGCCACAGCACCGGTAAATAAACAAACTGGGGCAGCCAGTTAATGTATTTCTGAGAATGATTCTGCGGCACGCTTTCAGAAACACTGCTGTAGATCATAAATTGTTCACAGATTGGGCAGTCCTCTGTATTGGTGCAGCATCTGCACAATGGAGTCCTTCTGTATATACAGGCAGTCCCCGGGTTACGTACAAGATAGGGACTGTAGGTTTGTTCTTAAGTTGAATCTGTATGTAAGTCGGAACTGGCGTCAGCCGCTGCTGAAACTGATCAGTTTCAACCGCGACTGAATCTGGACACCAGTTCTGACTTACATACAGGTTCAACTTAAGAAACCCAGGCGTCCACAAGTCAGCTGCTGCTGAAACTGATCAGCGGCTGATTCCAGGAAGCCTGGGGCAGAGCAACTCTGCCTCGGGCTTCCTGTAGTCAGCGCTGGT